CTGCTGGTGGGAGCTGGCACTCAAGATAGAATGACATGAGCGATACTTCTTCTGTCAGCTCTAAACTCGTGTTCGGTGACACATCGCTACTCGGCAAGTCTCCCCCATCTCTGGTTGATTGCAGAGTCTCACCCTGGAGCTTGCCGCTCGCTGCCCTTTTCTGTCGCTCGCCGCCCTTTTCTGTCGCTCGCCGAGCTGAATTGTCGAGCTCAGCACCTAACATCACCTCGCCCCTCTTCTCTGCGAGACACAGCACCCATTGCTAATGTCTCGAGGCCATTCCCCGAAGCTGGCTTGCTGTCCCTTGCCGAGCTGCTGTGTCTTCTTGTCGAGCGGATGGTCGCTGTCTACTTCCGCTGGTATCTGGGATGTTGCTGAATTGTTGAGCTGAATTGTGTCGTGTTGCTGTTTATATCCGAAAAAAATCCCCTATGCGCGTCTCTTGCGAGAGGAAAAAAAAGATGCTTACTCCGTCTACTCTCTCACAAAGGACCGGAATTCCTTTGATCTTGCTGTGTTGTGGGGGGGGTTGGACGTGTGTCCGTGTTTTTTTTATTTGACTTTATGACTGACCCTTTCCAGTGGTGGAAGGGGAGGGTATCATTATCTTTGCGAGGGTGATGACAGCTGCTCAAAAAGGGGGGAGGGGGGGTTCCATTTGTTTGTGCTCCCAGCGGCCCCGCGAGTGATTAAAAAAAAAATATCGGCAAAATCATTAATATCAATTTTGGAAAAAGGCATATATACAACAGTACACTGATCTTTGAATGAATGCCTACACATGCATGCATTCTTAGAATGCGAGAAGCCAAGTGATAGCACGGTTGATATTTGTTAAGGGGTTCAAAGTTCACATCTGTCCGGTGTTGTATACGGCTCTTTTTCCACAATTAATATCCATAAGAATATTTACCGATAGATAGATACAAATAGATTTTTTTGTGACAAAATTTAATAAAAACACGTAAGCCAGTCACACAGGAAAACCAGATGTCAATCATAAACAAAGCCATAAATAAATAAAGGAATAATAAACTCTCGAGGCAAGGATGTTAACAGCTATCTGCGAAAATCACCAGATTAACAAAGCTGTTTGATGTGACCCTAAAGAAGGGTCACCCAGAGGGGAGCCCCTCAGGAGGGTAGACATATTGGCGACACTCGCTTGAACCAATTTTTCTTCCATTGCTATCGGGGTAATGTTAAATTTCAAATCCCAACAACCGGAATAAGCTAAAATTGGCGATCCTCACTCTCACTCCAATTAAGACCAGGCCACCAGATACATCAGTAAATCATTACCCAATTATTTATTCGATATCAAATGATTTTTACCTTTAATACTTTTACTGTTAAATCACAAGCTTGGGGACAGAAATACCGAGTCACATCAAGGGTTTTCGAGGAGAAATGAGGCTAACGGGCAAACTTACGAAACGAGTTAAACAATATTACAAGAGACTCCCGACCGTCTTTGTCTCTTCGCAGCGCGGGGAAGCAGGAATTACACCCTGTTGCAAGGGGCCATCTGCACAGCGGACACGTGGGACTCAATGAGAAACACCCTCCGAGATCAAAGGGACAAGGGGGCAGGAACGAATATCTCAGCAGCGTTGAAGACGGCGAAAAACCAGACAGACAGCATTCAATTATTTTAATTAACGGAAAGCGAGCAGAATAAGCTGACCGTATAGGAATAAGCTCGGGAAACATAAACCAAAAATGATAGCGATAAGGGTTAAACTGAAAGCAGCCAGAGAGAGAGGGACTCCCGACCGTCTTTGTCTCTCCCACAGCGCAAGAAAGGAATTTCACACCGATGTGCAGGGATTAATAATGGCCCCACCCCGCAACCACGGGCAGACAAGTCACTGGAAGCAAAGCCAGGCGAGCAGGTTTTAAGTTAAAGAAAATTGCAATACACAATTCATAATTAACATTAATGTTAAAGGTTCACGGTGGACGATGTTCCGTTATATAACCTTGCAAGGAATACGAATTCACAGGTCAAAAAGCATACCCCTTAACCCAGGATATTGGAAGTAGGGTGATACTGTGATAAGCATACACACATAATGATGCTCGCAGTACGTCTGCGGCTAGCTGGCACGCTGATGCTCCGTCGGCGCTCTCTCTGGATGGCGCTGTCGGCTAACAACGGGTAGCCTGTCGCCAAACAGCGACCCTCGCCATTCTGGCGGGTTTGTAGAGAATTCTCCTGCGTCGGTGGTTGGTCTTCTGATGATCGCCGTCTTCTGCTGGCAGATGCTGAGCTGACCCGCTGGTCGTAGCTGAATTCAATGCTGGAACGCTCTCTCTTTATCCCAAAATTTATCCCCTTAGCTCCTCCTCCTTACGTGGGCGGAGCTCCCTTTGATCTAGCCGTGTGTCGAGTGGTGGGTGTGTGCGTGTCTGTATGTGTGTGCATGTGTATATCATTACGACATAGTTCCGTTGTTGGCTTCCTCTAGCCATAAACCATCAAAGGACACAGCTGCTTCGAGACGAGTTTGAAGCAGCTGTGTCCTTTGATGGTTTATGGCTCGAGGAAGCCAACAACGGAACTATGTCGTAATGACACACATGCACACACATACAGACACGCACACACCCACCACTCGACACACGGCTAGATCAAAGGGAGCTCCGCCCACGTAAGGAGGAGGAGCTAAGGGGAGAAATTTTGGCATAAAGAGAGAGCGTTCCAGCATTAAATTCAGCTACGACCAGCGGGTCAGCTCAGCATCTGCCAGCAGAAAAAGACGGCGATCATCAGAAGACCAACTACCGACGCAGGAGAAGTCTCTACAAACCCGCCAGAATGGCGAGGGTCGCTGTTTGGAGACAGGCTACCCACTGTTAGCTGACAGCGCCATCCAGAGAGAGCGCCGACGGAGCATCAGCGTGCCAGCTAGCCGCAGACGTACTGCGAGCATCATTCTGTGTGTATGCTTATCATAATATCACCCTACTTCCAATATCCTGGGTTAAGGGGTATGCTTTTTGACCCTGTGAATTCGTATTCCTTGCAAGGTTATATAACGGAACATAGTCCACGGTGAACCGTTAACATTAATGTTATGTATGAATTGTGTATTGCAATTTTCTTTAACTTAAAACCTGCTCGCCTGGCTTTGCGGCCAGTGACTTGTCTGCCCGTGGTTGCGGGGTGGGGTGGGGCCATTATTAAGCCCCGCACATCGGTGTGAAAATCCTTTCTCTCTCGCGCTGCGGGAGAAACAAAGACGGTCAGGAGTCCCTCTCTCTCTGGCTGCTTTCGGTTTAACCCTTATCGCTATCATTTTTGGTTTGTTTCCCGAGCTTACTCCTATACGGTCAGCTTATTCTGCTCGCTTTCCGTTAATTAAAATAATTGAATGCTGTAAGTCTGGTTTTCCGCTCGCAGCGGCGCGGTTGTTGGCAAAGTTGCTTGCCGCCGTGGGCGCTCTCTCCGTCGGCGCTCTCTCCGTCATAACGACCTGCATTATCATAACCACACCCACTCGCATAAATTAATACGATTATCTCTCGAAATAGCATAATTTATACGCATAATCACACAAATTAACATATTGTCAGATAAATTATGCAAATTTCAAATTTTGTTTCATTTTAATTATTTTCATCAAATTTTCATAACCCACATATACAACACCAGCAACTCTCATGATTAATGCAGCAATATTGACCAAAATCTGCTTAACAGTGGATGTTCAACATTCATGGTGTCAGGGTCAAAATTTGCCAGATTAAAAAGATTAGCCACAAACGACCCGACCGGGGTTACACATTAATCATCGCTCCACCCAACTGACAGGCTCATGTACACGTGCAGGTCGGTATTGAGTCACCTTCTACCACAAAGCGACAGCTGCCACTTGGGCTAGCCGTCAAATGATTGAGATGAAATATGATACAAGCCGCTTGTAGTTGCTGAAGCATTTCACCTTTGATTAGCATGATTGGCTACGTACAGTGAGAAAAAAATAACACATTAATGCAAGCGCCAATTATTAATATAAATATTATTATAAACACGTTGAACGCTGTGGAGCTTTTTGTCTCCCGCTCCTGCTTACAGAACTACCCAACCTCCAAGTCCACATATGCTGGCCGCTGCTACTCTGCATCCTCCAAAAAGTCCACCTCCACAAACTGCTGGGTTTCAATTTATGCTCTCTCAGTCCGCAGCCTCCTCCAGCTTTAGGCTGCCTCTATTGACCACTTGGAGGAGAAAACCCTTGCAATTAGAAAGGCACAAATCTGGCTGTCGTCTGATGAAGCTAGTTGTAATGACTGTCGCAACGTCACTCAGATTGTAAATGTTGTGGCTTGGCTCTCCAACACACCGGTGTGCTGTACTAGTGATGAATTGGCATGTTCTGTTTACGTGACAACCCTTACTAGTTGGCTGTGTCGGGTGGTGGCAGGTTTTAACGACACGTTTACATATTTACGCGATCTAACCCAAAAAACCTCTATTATGGGAAAGGCCTGTGAATGGATTGGAACTTCGTTATCCTAAGCTCAATGATGCACATGTACTTGGTCTCCAATTGACTCAGTATTGCCTAAAAAATCCACCCACACCTCCACATCCACAAATTGCTGGGAGTTGCCTCGCTCTGCCTCAGAGTCCACAGTCTCCTCCAGTTTAACGCTGACTCGATCAACGTGAAGGTCGGATTTTGGAGTTGAATCTTCATCCTCACATTTCACTATCACTTCTTCAGACTTTACTGTCACTTCACTTTTCACATTCACTGATTCAAATTTCATTTCCACTTCTTGACATTTCGCCTTCACTCCTGGCCACGTTTCATATCTCAAATGGTTTTCTGGTTCTTGTTTCATGAGGGATGGACTCATTGCAGCACTTTGACTTTCACAAGCCGATTTCAGATTAATTTCCTGATGAATGGTTTCATGCTTGTTTCGATCCCCTAACTGTCGAAAACCCTTCCCCCCATACACAGTACACTTTAAGGGATTTTCTCCTATGTGTATTCGCTGATGGTTTTTAAGATATGTTGACAGTGAAAATTCCTTCCCACACACAGTGCACTTGAAGTTTTTCTCTCTCGTGTGTGTTCTCTGGTGGCACTGAAGAAGTGATGAATATGCAAACGCCTTCCCACACACAGTGCACTTGAAGGGTGTCTCTCCTGTGTGTTTTCTCTGGTGTGTTTTAAGATGTGATGACTGTTCAAAGGCCTCTCCACACACAGTGCACTTGAAGGGTGTTTCTACTGTGTGTATTCTCTGGTGTGTTTTAAGATGGGATGACTTTGCACAGGCCTTCCCACAAACAGTGCACTTGAAGGGTGTCTCTCCTGTGTGACTTCTCTGGTGTTTTTTAAGATATGATGATTCTGCAAATGCCTTCCCACACACAGTGCACTTGAAGGGTTTCTCTCCCGTGTGTGTTCTCTGGTGGCCCTGAAGATTTGATGACCGTGCAAATGCCTTCCCACACAAAGTACACTTGAAGGGTTTTTCTCCTGTGTGTATTCTCTGGTGTATTTTAAGATATGATGACTGTGCAAAAGCCGTCCCACACACAATGCACTTGAAGGGTGTTTCTCCTGTGTGTATTCTCTGGTGTCTTTTAAGATGTGATGACACTGCAAACGCCTTCCCACACACACTGCACTTGAAGGGTTTCTCTCCCGTGTGTGTTCTCTGGTGGCCCTGAAGATTTGATGACTGTGCAAATGCCTTCCCACACAAAGAACACTTGAAGGGTTTTTCGCCTGTGTGTATTCTCTGGTGTATTTTAAGATATGATGACTGTGCAAAGGCCGCCCCACACACAATGCACTTGAAGGGTGTTTCTCCTGTGTGTATTCTCTGGTGTATTTTAAGAGATGATGCCTCTGCAAACGCCTTCCCACACGCAGTGCACTTGAAGGGTTTCTCTCCCGTGTGTGTTCTCTGGTGGACCTGAAGATTTGATGGATGTGCAAACGCCTTCCCACACACCGTGCACTTGAATGGTTTCTCTCCCGCTGATTGTTTTCGCTCCATATGACCAATTCTGTCCAGCAAAGTGGCAGAGAAACTGGCAGCTGCAGACAGAAAACAGTAAAATCCACGCAATGTATGTCAGCATAGAAGCATAGAAATGCATATGTATACAGTCACACGTGATATTAACATATTACATGGACAAGAACACTCAAACATTAACGAGAAATAAAAAAAATCACCCTCAAATTTATCACACAGGCTGTTTTACGGCACTTGCTCCTATTGGCAATCAGCTGTTGGCCTGCCATAGTAAGGCAAGTGGTCAGTATAATGCCTGGAGGCCCAAGTATATTTAATATCAATGATAACCCGTAACTCTACGTACAGAATTTCGGTTGTATCTGGTTAATGAAGAAACGTTAACTATTGCAAAAGTCTCATAAAAATAGCAAATAGTGGAAGAAATATTGTAAAATGGACAAATTCATGTTCAATCGCAACTTGTAAGTCGAAGCCAGGCTCAGATGGGATTGAATGCTTGGATGTAATTTCAGCTTCATGTGCTGTGTTTTCCATGCTTGTGAAACGTTCCATGTGTCGGGGACTGTACAAGAGAAGGTTCCAGAAGTCACGCGTTGTGTTGATTGGAAACAGCTGACTGGAAGGCACTGTAAGCATTATTCAATTAAGGACACACATGTTATAGTGAAGTGGGGGGGGGAGGGGGCGTGCGAGTATATAAGGGGGAGCAAGGCCCGCGGTCGGGGCACTTACTCGGGGACTGATTCACGACCAGAGGTGGACGACGTTGGGGCCGACTGTGGAAACCATCGGGGTTGACTGTTCAGGTATCAACTAGGTGGAAACCGTCGGAGGTGAAGATAGCTATAGTGATTGCGATGGGTGGCAGTCGTTACACTTGGACTGTATATACGTTCGGAGAAATAAATAAAGCTCTACTCCCCTGAAAATGGATGTCTCCAAGGAGCTTATTTTAAACATGTAATAGAAAAACCCCATTTCTCTGATTAAAGCTAGGCGTATATGGTCAATATACTTTACAGCAAAAAAAACTTTATACTCTCACGCACTGGAACAGTGAAGGTGGTGGTGTTGTGGCTAGAACCATGCCTGGCTGCCTTCATCTGCTCAGTACAGATGCTTATACTCTTCACCAAGTACTTAACCTAGAAACAATCAACCCAGCAGAGGCCTACAATAAGTTAAGCTATCACTTGTCAATCATGTCTGCAGTCAGCAATAATACAACTCTGAATGTTGGCTCCATAATGCAGTGGACGAACAAATGTGCCTCTGCTCCGCATGTAGATACACTCTTACAGATATGTTTCACATGGATCATGAACAGATTATATAAATAAAACGGCTACCATTCACCATGAATTGGTAGTAACATCATTACAGTGGTCATGCCATGATAGGTGCGAATTGAGGCCATGTAAGTGTGGAGCACTTGCCAGTAGGTCATGGGAATGATCCAGATATCAAGGGATGACTGAGATGACTGGCAGATGCATCACCTGTGTTACCCACTGTGCCAACTTGCTGCATTTTAGCCACCCAGCGCTCCACCCATTGATGTGTCACTCCTCTGACCTCGTTGTTGTAGGACGAATGCCTCCAACTACCCTGCAGCATCCTTCACGGGCCTCCCCCGCAGAGGTCGATCTTCTAAGCAAACGGGATTCATGACCAACGAATGCAGCCTCGCCTGCCAAAGAGGCTCACTTGTGGTCAGAATGCAAACAAAAAACACTGGTAACATATGCACTGTCTTTGAAACTGTTTGGTCCACACCAGAGACAGGTTTTCTTTTGAGCCTAGTCTCAAAACGGTGTTAGACCAGAGGACGCCAAAAGGCGGCAAAAGGCATACGGTGAGTTGGAATCAAACTCGTGTTACCTGGTTCGTAGCGCAGCGCGCTGTAGGTTACATTACCATTCGCCACTAAGTGAGCTCTACCAGTATGAGTGCAAAGGAACATACACCGACTGACTGCAGAAGCTTCCGGTCAAACTGCCTCCTCTCCCAGTTCCAGAGAAGGTTTTGCCCATGCATTGCAAATGTCACCAATCACAATATTCCGGGTTCACCACTCTGGTAAAATGAAGCGGCGACTCGGATTACTAAGACAATCAGATATATATTGAAGTCTACCTTTAAAACTCACCTCTGTAAACTGGTCTTCATCCCCTGCCTAGTTTTGCTGTTTACCTGAGGGAGTGGGTGATTGGGTCAAGGAATGGGTGAGTAGGGAGGTCATCCAGTGAGTGAGTGATTGAGTTAGTGGGTAAATTAAACTTTGCCCGCCCTTGAGTTTTTGGCTGTTTACACTGCAGGATGTGTATATTTTGTACTTTTTATACACGGCACGGATTGGTGGGATCCACGGATGAAATGCAGCACTTCACAAATGTTAATAATTGTATTATTAATATTGCAGGCATATTATACACACCAACATGCAACATATGCTGCCATATAGATATTAAAGTCATTATTTCTCGCGTTATTTTTCATGAGTAGACGATTGTGTACTGGTGTCATGGTTTAAATGTATAATGATGCAACTATTTTGATGAAAGATGAAAAGGCTTAAACCTTTTCGGCAATAAGACATTTGTTAAGATCAGAATCTTTAAAATCAGAATCTGTCTTCTGGATGAATGTCACAGGTGTCCAGTCGAGGCGGGTCAGAAAGTTACAAAAACATGGTTGGGTACGTACGGTGTGAAAGAAATTCCACATACAAAAAACGATAGGAGTGCAAAATAGATGAAAGGAAAGCATATTCTTGGTTCTTTCGGTAAAGTCACGTTGTAGGGAAACAAAACAATAAAACAAATATATAAAACAATAAAATTCTCACGACGTTTCGACTGCAACACAAGCAGTCATCATCAGGTGTGAAAACCAACGGCAAGGACATTTGAAAGAAGTGGCGGTTCGCATTTATTTATTTATTTATAAGCGTTAGCGCCACGGATAGCGATTTGAAACGTCGTGAGAATTTTATTGTTTTATATATATTTGTTTTATTGTTTTGTTTCCCTTCAACGTGAATTTACCGAAAGAACGAAGACTATGAATCACTGCAGTCACGAAAGCTTTAAATCAAAAGGTAAGCAATTCACGAAAAAAGTAAATAGAAATGAATAAAGTACATAGTCCAATTTGAAAACAGATACCTATTGCAAGGCAGCATAAAGTCTGCATTAACCACACATTCTTGTGGTATAATTTAACACGAACATCATGTCTGTATCAACCACGTGATATTTTTATTTACAAGGATATTTTTCCATAGATTTGCTCTTTATTTTACTTATTAAACCATTGGACAATCCGAAACATCTGCGACGTGCATCTGATTGTCTATGTGGGTCTGTGGGTCTGTGTGCAAGTCTGTGGGTTTCTGTGCGAGTCTAGGGGTTCCTGTATGCCTGATTGTCTGTTAAGTTTCCCAGATTTCACTGCCCAAAGGTTTGGAACCACGTATTGTCTGTTGGCATCTCAATTCTACCATCTAAAACCTCGCTTAAACTGACTCTAATAATCACTAAAGTTTCAGTGGGAATGTAATTTTACAACAGAATTTCTATTAAGTTTCTTTCGTAAACCTGCAATTTTGGAATGCGTTGATGTCTGCCCGCCATGTCGCCCTTAAAAAATTGCGTCTAAGCTCAATGGGTGTTACTCGTGAAATTCACTTCTGATTGCGAGAGGGCCAGTGAGCTTGGGTGAGTGGGAGGGCAAGTGAGAGAGCGAGTGGGAGGGCGAGTGTGGTATGGTGCGAGTAGGTGAGTGTGCTTGTGTGGGCGAGTGGATGGATGAGTCAGTGGATGGATGAGTGAGCGAGTAATAGAGTGGGTGGGAGGGTGAATGAGTAGACGAGTGAGTGGATGGATGAGTGAGTGGGCCAGTGAGTGAGCTTAATTATAATTAAATGCTTTGATGTCTGCCGGCTGAGTCGCCCTTGAAAATAAGCTTACGAGTTCAATGGACTTCACTTGGTAAATAAACTTATTCTGACTCTGAAATAAACTTCTGGACTGGTATCGTCCAAATATTGCAATGCTGAACAAATGCCTCCAGTTTACTCAATCGGGAATGCGCGAATAAGCATTGCCCCTCCCCCCGACTGCCAAACCGACTTGGCAGGACGCTCCTGAACTGAAGTAAAGAGACTCAGTGTGATAAAGCACTCGAGTGTGCACCACGCTGGTGAGATTTTCACTACATCGCTCGGTATACAGGAGGTCGTGGGTTGGATCCCGATGCTGACGCGTGTTTATTTGGAGTTTGCGTGTCTCTCTTTCTGCGTGGTCGCATTTAGAGTATTTGGCTGATGTAAATTTACACACAAGCAATTTCGTTGTGAGCAGGTCGCTTCTGAAAGATATACAGCTCAAAATAGTATTATTTTTTTTGTTTAAAACATGGTTTTCAACTAGTCAGCAAGGTGAGCAAAACAATCGAAGAAGCGAGGCTGCACCTAAATTTAAAAAACAACCACCACCAAAAACTACCACCACGATGTGAACTTCTCACCTCGGATCCCAGTTGAGTGGCGAGCAGCTTTCCGGGATTTCGTGACATCACGCGGATTAACGCGGCGGGGGAGATGACATGACGTCACTAGCGAGTTTACCCCTCCCACTTAATAGATTGTTAAAGAGCCCAGCCCTGACATTGAGTGATTGGGCGTGGCTGTTGAACCGGACAGAGTGAACTCGCGACAGATTTAATGGTTAATTTAAATTAATGAAGCAGGCCCTTATGGGAAGTGATGGCGCGTGGCTTTGCCCAAATTATTATTTTACTGGTGACATGACATCACTAGCGAGGTACACACGCCCTGTCGTCTCGCGACGATGACGGCATCAGTGTGCGTTTGCTTTCTGTGAACGCTGTGTGTTATTTTACCATTTATGCCATGTCCAAGCAAAATATCTAGGAACGGGAGTGTGTTATTCACCTCCATTTCCATAATGAACTGGATGGCTGGGTTTTGTGT